CTCTATTAGCTCACTACATATTGATTTGCCCTGGTATTAAATAGGATTATATGATGGTTAAATGCTGTTTCCTAATTGATCAATTAGCTCTTATAGTAGATAGTTTTTCAGTGGATGTTAAGTATTTCGCTTCTTGCCAAATTAAATAGTTTAAATCTCGAGTAGTTGTACGCTTAAAAGTTTAACAACAGTTAATTACCAACACACTGTTAATAATCCAGCGTATTCAATGTTGCGTCTAATTTATATAATGTAGATATACTGGATGTTTGTTTATGGTTTAATTTTTAGTTATCAAAAAAATACCCTTTTCAATTACAGGGTGTCAAAAAAATAGTGTATCCTTCGGCGGGTGATCCTAATTTTAGAAATTACTTAAGCTTTAAGAGTCTATTACGCTGTATTTTCGGGTCTATTTCAGGGGTCGGGTAAAGCGGGTGTGTGGCCTAAAGAAATATATATTATATTTCAGAAATCTGCCTAAGGCTTAGCCCGATCCTGTCGTGTCACACCTAAAATTCCAAACACACGTGGTTTACGGTTAAGGCTTGATTAAGGTTTGCAGAGCTTCAGCATTTGCAATAAAATAATGTTAATGCAATTTGTTACAAAATATTTAAATTATATATCACTGTAATCATAAAACTTCTATCTATTTCCGTATTGCAAAGGAATTTTAAATTATGTCTTTATTTTCGAGAAAATTTATGTTATGTTTGACCATCAAAATCTTAAAAATAAAGAAGTTGTCTAAAAATGTGCTACAATACGGATATAGTATAATCCTTTATCTTTAATTTCCTTCTTCATTTGTGTAAAAATACCTAGCCAGTTTTACATAAAACGTTAAATACCGAACGCTTATTTTGTTAGTTTTTCGGACTAGTGAAATGGGCTCTTAAGTCTTTTTGAAACTGACTTGTTGCAACTTTGTATGGGTGTCCGACTGATGCTCAATTAAAAGCTACTGCGACGGTGAATTTTTTCTCTTCGCGCGGTTTATTTACTTACCTTTCTGAGATCTATCGACTCTCGACGAAACAAATCCTGCAAAGACTTCTGTTTTCCGAACTTATTGTTATCGCCACTGGTACAATCGGCGCCAGAATTTCCGCCAACACTTTGCAACGTTTCGAGATCCAGCGAACCGCAGTTCTCAGACAAATGGTTGTTGTTCGGCTCATTTTTGACCATAGCTGTCGCGACCGCATCTGCCGGAGTAGCAGCCATTGCCTCTATTACGAACTAATTAATTTATATTAAAAGAATGTGTGGCATCGGCAGCGTAAATGAGTACGACGCACTGCTTTTGCCATGTCAGATGATAATAATTATTCGGTATCGGTAGTACCAGAGGCGGTACGAAAATCGCATATAACAGCTAGCAACCGTCCGCGCTTGCTGCGGTTCCAGTGGTCGATATATCGATACCGAAATCTATACCGCGAATTTTTTGCTAATTTTCGATATTGAAAATGATGTCCACAAATATCGATATATCAATAGATCGATATATTGCAATATCGATACGCTTTCTCGTGCCATCTTAAATAAAAATTATTGGCTATCAGTACTGTATATAAGCTATCTGCAAAAATTACGTAAAAATTGTGATGGATATTCAAGATAAATACGTTAAAAAAATATACAGGGTGGTCCGAACTATATTCCGGAAACTTCTGCAGCATATTCTGCAGATAAAAATAAGTAAAAAAGTTCGTATGTCGTAAATGTATGTTCTAGAATGCTTAGTTTCAGAGATACCGGATGTAGAAATTTCATTTTTATTTCGATTTTTTCTAAATAATTTCTGAAATAACGTCAATATTTGGATGAAAATTGGTGTCTGGTATTTTTTTGACATGAAAAATTTGATTTTAATGTCAATATGACTCCTACTAGTAAAGTGCGCCTCCTACATGAGTTTTAACTGTTTTGAAGCGTAATAATTTTTTGTCCGTACTTGTATACAACTACCGAGCGAAAAAATATACATCTCTGTGATTTTTTACGTAAAAAATATCTCTTTGTCAAAATCACTACGAGCAAACCGTTCTTAAGATATTTAGAATAGAAATAGTCAATACATATCATTATTGACAAAAAATAAACACGTTGAGTAGATCTAGTTATTTCACTGAAATAATAAATTTGTGAAATTTTTATTTTTTTAAATTAACTATAAATTTTTCTGCAAAAAATGATGATAAAACAGTTTCTGTTGAACTTTTGGCACAAAAACTTTTCAAATTTATGATTTCAGTCTAAGGGTAGAGCAGCGCTAAGTAGCGCTATCAGTAGGGATAAGAGCAGCGCTAATTCACTGCTTTTATCGTTTATCGCAGCTCCAACATAAACGTACCCTAATAACTATTTAGTCAACATGTTTAATTTATGTCAATGATGACAGGTATTGATAATTTCGATTCCAAATATCTCGAGAACCATTAAAGATCGCGCACACTATACCTACACGAACCAGTACGGACCAGCACAGCACAAACCTGCATCCTGCATGACATCGCACACTTTACCGCCACAGACCAGCAACATAAGCGAGAGTTTCGAAAAAAGTACAGTTGTCAAGGCTCAACTACTAGAGCGTGCAACATAGAAGTATTGAAAATGAGTAGTTCAGAGGAAGAAATTATTATTTTAGCCATGTTGTGTGAAGAAGAGGAGGAAGAGAAGGAAGCTAAGAAAAAAAGAAGATTTTGGGTTCACCCTATAAATCAAAAGAGAAAGCAATTTGGCGAATTTCATCATTTGTTTCCTGAATTAAATAGATTCGAAGGAAAGTTTTTCCAATATTTTCGAATGTCACAAATCAAATTTGATTATTTTTTTTTGCTATCGACTCCCATATTGCCTCATTTCTTTCTTGGTCTCTATATATAAAATGCTTGGCTCGTATCGCACAGCTCTGGATAATTTTGTACCAGTAAAATAAGCTTTTCTTCATTCATATTTAAAACGATTTAAAGGTTCGAACAAAAATAAACGAAATCTAACCTACATCATGCGACTTGAGCCAGCTAGCGTACTCGAAATACTGACAAACCCTTCAATATTTGCATGTTTGTGGAGGTGTGCTGGTTCGCCGGTGCGCACATTAGGTCGGACCAGCACGACCAGGCATAAATATTGCCGGTCATATTTGTCCCTGACCGACACGACCTGTTTTGACGGTCGTGGCTTGTGGCGGTACGTGCTGGTACTGGTCTAGTGTGCTCTACTCTATTAAATAACACGGTAACCTTCACCGGTAGATTTTACTCGTCTGGTCCGTGCCGGTCCGTGCAGGTATAGTGTGCGCGATCTTTTACTCGAAGCAATTTTTACCAAGATACCTTTTTCACGTAAAAAATGTCGTAAACGTATATTTTTTTACTCAGTAGTTTTATACAGGTACGGACGAAAAGTTATTACTCTTCAAACCAGTTAAAAAATATGTAGGTGGCGCCCTCTACTAGTAGGAGTCATATTGACATCAAAAACAAATTTCTCATGTCAAAAAACTCCCAGACACTAATTTTCATCTAAATATTGACGTTACTTCAGAAATTATATAAAAAAAACAAATAAAAATTAAACCTCTACACGTTGTATCTCCGAAACTAAGCATTTTAGGACATACATTTATACGAACTTTTTTACTTATTCTTATATGCAGATTATGCTGCCGAAGTTTCCGGAATAGAGCTCGGATCACCCTGTATATTTTAAAACCACCAAATGTCTCAAACGTATCGGTCCTTGAAAAAGCTAGCTGCGAGAGCGCTGAAGTCATGATTACTGAATCCCGCTTAAGATGGGCTGGTCACGTATGTAGGATGCAAGAAAACCGTCTATCGAAATATCTTCTTTACGGTGAGCTTGTAGTCGGTAAGAGGAAACTCAAAAGGTACAAAGATATTTGCCATGAAAACTTACAGGGGTTAAGCACGCAGAATCAGTGGGAAAAATCAACGCACAATAGAACGCAATGGAGAACAATTGTAAAGTCAGTTAACGGCGACCAAAAAGGCAACATCGACATGTCAAAAGATCGATAAGAGACATCGATACGTATGAGAAAAAAACATCTACTTTTATTATGCGATAATTAAGTATCAGACAATTTGACAGAGGTAAATATTTTTCTTTTCATTTGTAACGTTGTATCATTACCAAATACTTAATTTCAATAGGGTTTTATCAGGAATATAATTAAAAAATATATTACTTTATTGTTATATCGATATTTATAAACATCAATTTTTTGTACGTCCCTAGATTGACCATTTATTATCGATATCGATATGGTATCGATAGACAATATCAAAATATCAACCACTGAAATTGCTTGATACTCTGAGAACTTAAAACCATAAAATAATAAACTAAAGATTAGAACTTTCGACTTTATATGCATTTAAGACATTTTATTTTAACAGTTGTATTGAGAAACACATTTTTTATTTCTATTTTAATTTTCTAGATCTGCCAGTCTAATTTATAAATCATTTAAAAATTGGCTTATTTTTTTCAATGGAAATAGAAATTATTTTATTTTAAAATTTATGAATTTAGGCAACCAATTAAACAGATATAGGTAATTCTGTGTTATAATCGTTTTAATTGAATGGATATATTTTTTGTCAATTTCTAAATAAATAAAAAAAATGTATGCCACTGTTTTTCAATTATTGTTAGTGCTATAGTTTATTAATTTTTCATCATAAAAAAATGAAATTAGATTGTTTTCTTGACAATATGGCGAAGCTTTTACTGATAAATAATATAGTATAATTTGACCTTTTATGTCAGTGAATACTTGTGTCTTAATTATTAAAAATTCATTTTTTATTTTTGAATATCTGCAATTGGATTTTGTTTATATATTTTATTTAATTTATCATATATAAAATCTGACCTCTGTCAGTCATTAATAATTTAAACCAGCTTAAATTTGAATAATTTTTTTTTATTATTAGTTTATTTTTATTTCTTCGTTTGTTACGAAACATAACAAAAAAGATCAATATAAACTCAACAAACAATTTTATTTTTTTTTCTTACATGTTAAAATTACTGACACTATAAAAAAAGTTGTGTACAAAATATGCCAATGCGACACTCGTCAATAAATAATATTTAAAACGTAAAAGAGAGCGAAAGGTTTAAGTACTTGTCTTCTATCTTAAAAATTTATTGTGCAGCCTTAATGTAATCAAAGATTGCTTTAGGAACGTCCATTGTTTGATCATCAATCAAAACAATATCAAAAGTGTCTAAGTAGAGTGGCAAATACTGATCAATCTAGAAAAAAAAAAGATTTATTATGTTTTAAAAAATTTTAACTCTATTTTAACTAACATGATCGTATAAAAATCCAATTTTTAAAAGATTTTTGAGATGATCTAGACCTTCCGCCATGGAGGCATCGCCTAGAGAGTCTCCTAAGACTATCACATTGTCTCTCTTCTCCAAAACATGGTAAAAATCACTATTTTTAATTGCGTACTCGTTTTTGTTTAAAACATGAATTACTTTGTCTTGAAATCCCTCTATTATTCCTTCGCTGTTATATTTCAGAAAGTTTGATATAATCTATAATGTAAAATACTTATGTAAGTAAATATTTAATTGTTGTTTAATATTCCACAGAAATCACCTTTACATTTGGTAAATATACATCAAACTGTTTCAATATTGACATGACTAAATCTCCACAACCTGCAGAAAACACAACTATGGGAACGTTTTCCTGTGCCAGATCTTTAAAAAACTCCCTTGTACCTTCTCTGAAATAAAAAATAAAATTTGTAAACCAATTAAAAGCTTCAAAACACAACCGCCTACCTTAATGAAGGTTGTGTCTTCACACAAATATCTTCAATTTCTTCTGGAGTTACTTTGAGACCCCTAAAAATCCTTTTATTTCAAAAAATATTAAACCAAAGTATTCTTTACCTTATAGCTTTTTCGGAAAGTTCCCACCACTCTTCCATCAGTTTTAATTTTTCTTCGTGGGGTATATGTGGATCAATTTCAATAGGATAATACTTGGCTCTCAATGCGCTGACTGTTTTCTGATAGTTTTCATTGTTTGCTGACGACGGTATCTTGCTAAACATAGCTATAAAGTAGTGAAATAAAAAGAAATTCTTCAACAAAATTCTGACATTACCAAAAGTGCTAAGATGTGGCACGCCATCCTGATGTTGTTTGGTGATTGTCCTATCAAAATCAGAGACTATTTGCACCTTACTCACACCGCCTTTGATCATGTTACTTAAAATATCGTTCACTCTATCGGGGTTCTTAATTTTGACGTGGTTCTTCGTTAAAACAGATATTTCTTGAATAATACTCATTGTCATGGAAAAGTATCGGAACAGCTGAAATATAAGACAGAAATGAATGAGTTAAGACAAAAAATTATATTTTTATATACTACCGTAAGGAATAATAAGGATTTCAAGTAGGGATTACTTGTGTTTACTTATGAACTGGCACAAAATCTGAAAAAAGATAAGAAAAAAAATCAAACTGACAACCATCTGACAGCGAAGAGCAAAGCCATTTTGTTGGGTTAAGTGTAAAATAGAGATGAACAGTATATATCGATGTATAAAAGAATCGATTTTGTAAAAATGTATTTATTACTTTATTTATTAGTTAGACTTTTTTTATATATAATCAAATCTAGAATGCCACTGTATCTAAAAAAGAAAACATTCGACCAATGTGTACCACCAGTCACGACCTATGCATGCGAAACCTGGACACTTGAAACGGACATCATAAGAAAACTGCAGGTCGCACAACGCACAATGGAACGAAATGTGCTGGGAATAATCAAGAGAAATCGTAAAAGAATGGATACGACAAATGTACCCAGGTAATAGATTATCCACTGAGTCAAATCCCTCAAATGGCAATGGGCAGGACATTTGGCAAGAAGACCTGACCAAAAAAATTACAGCATGGTACCCACGAGGAATTAAGAGACCTAGAAGAAGACCGAACTTGAGATGGGACCATAATATTAGAAAATTAGCAGGGATAACTTGGGCCCGCATAGCCAACTATATACAACAATGGGCCCAACTACAAAAAGACTATCTAAATATATGAGGGAGACTACACTATAATTATTGAAAATGGTTGAATAAGCTGAAAACGATAATGATGAAAATGATGATACATATCAATAAAATAATTTTAAATTTTACCATCCCCGGTACAAAAATGACAGAAGCACAGCTAGGCCAACTAGGAATGGAGATATCGATAATTCTTGAAGTATCGATATCGAAAACAATTTTATAACGAAAATTTGACATTACTTTTGCGAATTTATGCAACAGCTTGTTGAACGCTTGATCTTTAGTGGAAAAAATAAATATATTAATAATGTTTTTGCTCTAGTTTATATAAAAATTAATTTTCGCTTATCAGTTGTTGTAAGTAATGTCAGCTCTTAACATTGGGTCAAGGAATTCGAAATTTTAAGAAAAACATTGTGGAATTGTGTCAGTATGAAAACAACTTTACATTAATTAACGTATAAAAAAGTTTAATTTACTTCTGATGTTATTGCGAAACAATGGATACAACAAGTTTTCTAACAAACAATAACTGGTAAGTATATATTTAGAATTTTTTTTACCTAATAGTTTTCCGTAAAAATATAAATTTTATAAAATCTCCCAATATTGAATAGAACAAAAAAAACATTTTATTTAAAAAATTGCCGACGTTTTAATTAACGTCATATTTTTTGCTGTTTTATAATGTAAAAGAAGCACAAAATTTATTTATTAGTTCTGATGCTACGGAAAGGGCGATAAAAGTTTCCGGAAAATGTGATACTTTCAGAAACAGCAAATAATATTTAATCAAAATTAATAGTAACTATCATCTATCAAAGAATGAAATCGAAATGCTATTACTTTAGAAACGCCTTTTGATTTTTAAGAATTATGAAAAATTTGGCCGTATTTTCATGTTTTTTTTAGTTTCCTCTAAAACGGTATGGAAATTTGGACGAAAATACACATCGAAACGTCGACAATTTTTGAAATAAAATATTGTTTATTTCTTGGTGCTTAACCTACCACATTACCTGATTACATCTACTTTATATTTTTTAAGAACAGAATAGTTAAAATTATTAGAGAAATATAATAAATATTTTAATATACTCACTCGTTTAAAGATATCTAGGATATTTTCTGTTGCATTGACCTCAATACTGCACCAAATTTTGAAGATCAAAATCATTTATATTCTATTGCTTTAAAAGGAAAAAAACTATTCTATAACAATGATAAAATCCTTAAAAAATCATTTTTAAATCACTAATTAATAGGCAACCAAAGATCGATAATTGACCTAGCGCATTCGCCAAAAAGACGAATCAATCTCGTACATATTCGCGTTTCTACGGTTCTTATCGTCGCTCCCAGCTGATTGTTGTCATCGTCCACGAACAAAACATCGAACTTTCATTTTTATGCTTTCATTCTGTCGCAATTTTGTTGTTTCGATGGACGTTTTAAACGAATTCTGCTTAAAACACTACTAGAAGGTCGCTAAATCCTTCCTTTTCAAGCAGGAAATAGATCGACGTGAAAACTCGCAGGAAATCGCAATCCCAACGGCAAACTGTAGTTCTGCGGCAAAGTGCGTCTTTTCACATCAAATTTATGATCGAAACATTAGTGCCTTTGTTTTAAATAGTTGTTTAAAATGGCTAGTGAGAGTATTTTGTTGCAATCTAGGTCCAACGACGTTAAGGTACAAATTCAGCCTGCCCAGCCGAAGAAATTGACCCATTTACCCCAGAGACCCAAAGTGAATTTGGCTTTTTCCAATTTGAGCTACACAGTAAAACAAGGCAAACGTAAGTAAATTTTAGAAGTTAAACCGAGAGTTAAACAAAGAAGAAAGCCAGTATTAATTAAATAAATTATGAAGAATTCTAAAGTTTCTGAGGACCTCCATTTATTAATTAGAACACCATTAACTTGGCATCAAAATTTATTGGAAAACTAAGTAATTATGCATAATTAAACTTTGTTTTATTACTCGTATTCAACCAGTTATACCGGAACCGATCAAAGGTTGGATTATAATTTTGTTTGTCTATTTTAAAAGTGCCTAATTGCATATATATATGGTACTATGGAGACGTTTTTTGTCTATTAAAATACAATTTTTCATTTACTTATAAAATAAATTACTAGTGTATGTACGAAAACGAGTAATATAATATATTAATTATCGAATTAATTGCTTATAGTAAAAAAAATCATAGAAGAAGGTGTTATAAAAATACTGCCTTAAAAAAAGCAGACAGACCATTTTTGTTTAAATTATTCCGGGGCCAAATTTTACCATTTTACTAATGTTGTTAAACAGGTTTGTGTATTCACGTTTAACTTAAAGTAAGATCGACTTTGTGTTAAATATATCTGTACACAAAACTTTATAATACATTTTTTATTTATCTACTTTAAAATTTTTAATTTTATTAATATAGTCCAGTATATGAAGGTTGAATCGACGGGCTTTTCAGGCGGATTGTGTACCTTTTGGGAGTGGTTTTTGGGAAAAAAATTGTAAAAACCGTGCCCGGCGGATTTGGCCGAAAAAATGCCCCCAAATGGGCGAAAAATCAAAAATCAAAAAATGTGCTGACACTTTTTTTCGTAAAGTCCCGGGAAAACGCTTAAAAACGACTCTAGAAGGTCAAAGAACGGGTTTTCCGCCAATATTGACCGAAATATGACATGCAGATGATTTTCATAATCAAATGGAAGAGAATGCTGAGGAATATCTCCAAAACTACTATTTGTACGTAAAAATGATAGAGATAGAGTCATTTTTGTAGAAAATGACCTAAGCTTCGTTTTTTATTCCAAGAAAAAAATTGTAAATTGCCATATTTTGACAGATATTTCCGATAAACTGATTTTTCGGTCATTTGGGACCATTTTTTCGGCCAAAGCTGACCGAGCACGGTGTTACAATTTTTTCTGCTAAAATTACTCCCCAAAAGGTACACAATCCACCTAAAAAGTCATAATCGACGAATTGGGTCTTTTGTGTTCTTATTTACTGGACTAAATATTCTATGGTCAAATCTTTGGTCAAATATTCTTCGAAAATAATGAAGTCACTGTTCAAAGTACATGTTTAATGTATTCCTAAATAATGAGATAAATTCCAGGCATGTAACTACGTATGAATTTTTTTAAAAGCACTGTGACTGTCTGTGACCTGTTTTATTGATTGATAAACGTCATAAACGAGCCAAAAACACAATTTCTGTGACTAATTTTGTTTTTACTATGTTTACTTTGTTATCGATAATGTTTATGATATATACTAGAGAATTTTGTTTTACTCATATACCAGGGGGGTGTCCCAATATTCTGTGGAGATAGAACTACTGCCTACATATTTTTGGAATCAAAATAAGTTCATTGGACACAATTTTTTACTCTCATGGTGCAGCCACACTATCCTAAAAACGGCGTATCGGCGTAACGGCGTAATGACCTTGAATCGATTTCCAGTAATTCTATTGGCTGAAATTTTTGACAGATAAAATTTCTGACAGATGAATGTTTCAGCGAATAGAATTAATGGAAATCTATTCAAGGTCATTACGCCGTTACGCCGATACGCCGTTTTTAGGATAGTGTGGCTGCACCCTCACAAAAGTGCTTCGTTTGTCCGCTAGAGGGCATCAAACTTTAAAAAAATAAACACATTTTGTCAGATATTTAAAGAACCGTTATTCCGACTTGAATGAAATTTTGTGTGTCTATGTTTTGCTAAGTGCTTTAACATTTGACTTTCACAAAAATCAAGATATTTTTTTTATAGAAGTAAATTGTGTCCGCGGAATACTGGGACACCCTGTATACAGACAGATTCAAAAAAACCTAACGCATTTTTTTTTCGTTAAATTTAAAGTGCAGTTGGCTTGGAAATGAACATCGTTGATATTCCCCATATAATTTTACATATAAGTCATTTCATAGCCATCAATGACGCCGTTTTTTTTCCGATCATATGGTGATTTTTAGCCCTATTTTTATGGTTTTTTTGGCAAACTGTATATTAATATCTACTTTAATAGATAAACTCAGTTTTTTATAAACTTTAGTATCTATTATAGCTTATTATCGTACAGGGTAGCTTGAATTCGACGCTCATCATGGGGATTTCGGAAACGTAAGAGATACAAGATCGGTTAAATGGAGGCAAAGTTGCGCAATTTGATGCTCAATAAAATGCCATATTGCATTTTGAAAAATTCCGAATACTTACTTCCGAATATATTCGAAAAAAAAATGAAATTTTCAATTTTGTTTTCTATTGTTTCCTGGCTTTATTTGTTATGGACTCTGACATTTCGGCTTCCGGCGACCATCATCAACCTTATTTTTTCTTAAATACGGACTTGATTTTTTTTTCAATTTAATTAAATCCTTTCATCGCTCTTAAAATACTATATATAGTCACTTTGATATTTACCGACGTTTAGTACAGAAAAATCCATCACCAAAATATTTTATGCAAAAAAAATGCAATACGGCATTTTATTGAGCATAAAATTGCGCAACTTTGCCTCCATTTAACCGATCCTGTATATCTCTTACGGTTTCCGAAATCCCAATGATGAGCGTCGAATTCGAGCCACCCTGTACATGATTAATCAAATGGTTGTTTTTTACCTTAAATTTAAAACACCCCGTGCAATAATTTCGTGAGCAAATTTTCCTAAAACAGTGTTTTTCGGTCAGAACCGAGGGGTAAACACATAGGGCAAAAAGTGTACACCTACATCCTCTATCCTTAGTACATCCCCTACATCCTCCAGTACATCCTCGGTACATCTCCTACATCCTCGGTACATCCCCTACATCCTCGTACATCCCCTAGTACATCCCCTACATCCTCGGTACATCCACTACATCCTCGGTACATCCCCGGTACATCCCCTACATCCTCTAGTACATCCTCGGTACATCCCCTGGAAATCCTCTCATGTGTACGCCATACATTTAGAATAATTTTCGTGATGAACCGAGAATACGTGAACAAATTTTACGTATCTAAAAAATACTTTTCGAGATATACTTATCTTGGACACACTGTATATATTTTTTTAAAATTTTATTTGAATGGTAAAAAGAAAGTTAAAATTTTGAACGCTATTATCTCCGAAACTATTAAATATATAAAAAAAGATAAAGCACCATTTCGACTTACATTTACTAGAGGGATATAAAAATTTACAGGGTGCTTTTTATTTAAAATAACAAAATTAAGGTTACTTTACTTACGACGAAACCGGAATTGTTATTTATGTTAGAGCGATCTCCCACTTTATTACGAGCTTTATTATATTGTTACGGATTCCGTGGGTCCACTAATTTAAACTCACGATAAAATACTTAACGAATTTATTTTCTCACTTTATACACAATTACTAACTTATAACACACAACAAACTAACTATTTATAAGATTCCTTCACCAAATTGTCCGATTTTCAATTTCCACGCGGTATATTCAAATTTCAAAAACTCTTAAAACTTCCTCAACTGTCGTAAGCGCTCCTTTTATATAGCTGTGGTAAGTGTTTCGCGAACAATCTAAAATTATCGGGACGGGTCCGCCATCTACTAGTACATTCTATTGTCTGCTTCGCTTACTTGTCGACTTGATTAAGAGATGGCGCTACAACAAAATATTGTCTTCAGGTTTCTGGACACGTTGCGGTTTTAGTTGCTCGCTTCTCCGACAGATGGCGCCACATACACCTTGACATTGCCCCTTTCTCAAATTTGATCGTCCCGATCAAGGTTTCCTGTCTGGTATCTCTTCAATCGATCCAGATGAACTACTTTCATCTTACTTCTAGGGCTGCGTTGAATCCGGTACACTACATCATTTATCCTCTCGATGACTGTATAAGGACCTTCCCATGCTGGAGTTAACTTTGGGGACCTTCCTTTCTTGCGCTGTGGATTATACAACCATACTCTATCATCCTGTTGAAATCCCGTAGAATTAGCTCTGAGGTCGTAACGAGCTTTCATCCGGTCACTGGCTAGCGTAATCTTACTTCTCACGGCCTTATGAATTCCCAATAATCTTTCCTTCCTAACAACTCTTTCGAACGACCGTCCAACGTTATCTTGTTCCATTTTTCCTCCAGATCGAGTACTTGGTCCTTGTCTAGCTGCGCAAATCTTACAACGTTGACACCATTTCTTAACATCTTCACAATAATCCACCCAGTAAAAACGGTCTCTCAGCTTGCTCAGGGTCTTGTTTACCCCAAGATGGGCTCCAGTTTTACCACCATGAATTTCTTCCAATACCTGGGTGACTTTCTTCCTTGGTACCAGTAACTGAGTTGTTACGGTCCTGCCATCCGCACTTTCCCACGTGCGCTTTAACAATCCATTCTCAATCACCAGTGAATTCCACTGAGCCCAGAGAGCTTTGAAAACCAGCCCTCTGTCCGCAATATCCTGCGACGGTGGTCTCTCGCCGTTACCTTCCTTGAGCCGTAGTATTGCTCCGATGTCTGGATCTTTCATTTGATCTTTCCTCAATTGTATCGTCGTCCATTGTTTGTCAGTTCTCAATTCAAAATTCCTTACTCTGATAGTGCTTTCACGATGTTTCATTTTCTTGTCCAAGGTAGCTCGTCGTCGATCTAGGTCGTTGTCGATAATTTGTACCCGTCCTACATGGCACCCAGAGGTTTCCTCTATTTTCTCGAACACAGTCTTCTTGGTATCACCAGGTATCATCACAATTTTCGATGATCTTTCTTCCATATTTCCTGGTCTCTTCTCTTTAGATACAGAAAATT